GCCACATTTTTCTTCATAGAACCCAGCTTCTCGTATTATTTGCTCAGCATACGGGTTGAATTAGTATGGTGAAAGAACAGGCATAGAGATTAGGATTTCAGCCAGTATTTTATGGGGACTTTCCTGGTGTGGCGCTGTAGGATAAGCACTGGATTGTTTCGGTCATTTAAAACCAGCTGCTCCTTGGAAACCCTATACAGGGTCTATATGAATCAGAACTGATATAAGGCATGTGAGAATAACAATTTAATGCATAGTATACTAAAACTTATACATCCTTTCCTGAAGGCATTATCTATGAGAGTAAGTAAAAAAAGTGTTGCTAGGGTGGCGGGTGCCATGTTGGGTCGCGAAGGTGGCAACAACCCAAAAAACAGAACAAGGAAATGGATGAGGAAGATAAGGCTTTCAAGAAGAAACAAAAAGAAGAGCAGAAGAAACTGGAAGAGCTAAAAGCAAAGGCTGCAGGAAAGAGCCCCCTGGCCACAGGTGGAATCAAGAAATCTGGCAAAAATCAGTTGTGCATTGTGACTGACGTGATGGTGACCCTTGATTCCATTTCTGTTTAAACATTTGAATTCCCTGCTAGAACATCTCTTGCCACCTGTAGTTAGATTGAAGTGTTGTATTGGAGCCTGTTGTACATTTAAGAAAAAAACTTTTTAAGAAAAAAGAAAAATCCTACAGTGGTCCATCTCTTTAGTTCTGTCTTAGCTGTGTGGTCAGTAAACCCAGGCCAGAATCCTGCCAGAGCTGCTCTTCAGTCTTTGTTATGCCCAGAATTCTTTACCACCATTTGAAAAAAATGTATACTATATTGCTACAAAATCGTGACAACTTTCATTAAACAGAAGTTCCAAAATGGGAAGTTATTGTTACTTGACATACTCTCCATGTACACTAACGAGGACCGCATTTCTCAAGGTGGTGCTTCCATGCGTCCATCTCTCCAACCCTTTCCCGGAAGGAGTCTTAGCTTTTTTATTTATACCACATCAATGGCAGTTTGGGCATCCTCAAATTCTATTCCTTTTGAATATTATTCGAGTTTTTGGAACAAAAAGAAGTCTGATGGTTACCGTGCAGGTGGGGGGGTTGTTGTTATGTGCCTTGGAATCGGTTCCAACTCACAGTGACCCTGTACAGGGATTCCGAGGCTGTAAATCTTTACGGGAGCAGAATACCTCAACTTTTTCCAGAAGAACGGCTGGTAGTTTTGAACTGCCGACCTTGAGGTTAGCAGCCCGATTTATAACCACTATGTACCAGAGCTCCTTAGGTCGGGGGAAATGGGTAGGGAGGGAAAAATAATAAAGTGAATACTATTATCTGACGATACATGGAGTAGATCGCAATCATTGTAATGACACGAAGTGTATAATTTGTTGAATGTGGGACTGATGATCTATAAACCTTCAATCAATTGACAATAAAAAGTTTTTTTAAAAAAACGTCTGAAGGGGCAAAATCAGGGCAGTAGAGTGGATGGCTTTAAGGTTTCCCAATGATACTCCCCTAGGTCAGTCCTTCCTACTCATGAAGAATAACATTGTTGTTATTGAGGGGGAGGAATCACAGGAGCAACTTT